TTACCGCTGTCTTTATTGTTGTTACTATTATTTATTCTCTTACCTACAATCCCAAACTTCCCTATCAGCTTCCTCCCCGCCTGTCCCTTCAGCCTGCTGTCCTTACCAAATGACCACCTAGTTCTACCCTGCTTGGGATACTTGCCTGTCTCATTTCGGTCTGGTAAGCCCTGCGCAAACGAGAGTCGGGTTGGCTGGACGTGCGGCTGGACGTCAAACACTCTCGAACCACGAGATCGATTCCGGCTGTGGTGTGAGTATACATACAGGCTCTGCCTCTTACCTGCATGTTGGCCTCGCTAGTCTTTCGAGTTTTCCTTCTGCATACCCAGCAAATCCTCTCTAGACTACCCCGTGATTGGGATCTCAGTGTCACAGCCGAGCTATAATCTGGTTCCGACTCGGGCATCGAAGCGCGACCAGTGTTGTCCGGCTGAAACAAAAACGATACCCAAACGGCACTACTACTATTACTACACGCCCCGTACTCCCACCGCTACCCCCTGCACATTCATTCAGCAGGCTCCTTTGCTCTGCCCTCCACGACCCTATCCTAGCCGATCATCCTAATATTACTATACTAGCGTCACCATGGGTTCCTACAGTACATCTTCCTGTCAGCGTGGTCCAAAGTCCGGCGGAAGTTCAAGTTCAACCAACAGTGATGCCTCGGACCGTTCGAAAAGCACGGCCCCTACGATCTACAGCGATCGACCCACTCCTATGACGGGGGTCACGATGGCCTTCGATGGGGAGGAAGACCCCAAAGCCTCGGTTACGACCTACACGTCCACCAATCCCTCCGTGGATGATCTTCCCGAACCGCCGCGCTACCAAGTAACCGACCGTAAATTGGATATCTTCTCCCCGGATGTCATCCCGTCAAATCCGTCCACCTTCGGACAATTGTTCCCCTCGTCACGACGGCTTCTGGTCCGACATGACGATGCGACGCTGGATGGCAACATGAACCTGCGGGTCGACACCATGGTTCCGCAACGTGGGGGGTACCAACAGGACGTGACCTTATTTCATCTCCGCATGTATGATCTGTTCTCGAGAAAATTCTCATTCCGTCGCTACAGCCGCGATTCGGGACGAGAAGTGTGTCATTCGGAAAGGAGGCCGGTGTCAGGCTCCGACAGACATGCGGTCTTTCGAAAGTCGTGGAGCAGTGTGTTGGCCAGCTTGCGGCCTGGGTCGAGTGGGCATGGATCTGTACCCGTTGCGGAACACAGGCGCCAGGACTCAGGGTACAAGTTAGCAGATGACAACGATGAAGAGTGGGAGGACAAACAGTTAGAGACCAGGACTGGTATGGATCGTCATCCGTCCGTACTCACCGAGAGCACGTTGTTGGAGTTCTCCAACTATGCTCATGTAGAGCTGAGACGCCGAGGTGCCGGGCAATCGAAGCGATATGAGTTTGAGTATTGGTCCACGAGATACCAATGGAGACGGGAGTGCCGGAGAGAGGGCGACCTGCGGGAGTTGTCGTATCATCTGATCAACCTGCGCACCTCCAAGCCCGTGGCCCATATCGTACCCGAAATCCTCGCTCCCATGGAAGCCGTCGAGGAGGAGCGCAAGGGCGGCTGGGTTCCTCCTTCCTCAATGTGGATCAGTGATCCGGCCGTGTACGAAAAGATGCCTGACGTTGCCGAGTAGGGATCCCTCCTGGTCCTCCTCCATTTTTGAGTTTGAGGCTGACTAGTGTACAGTGTGATTGTTGCCACAGGGCTAGTGGCACTAGTCGACGACTGTATTCGCCGGAAATGGCATTCGAAGAAGCATTCGCAACTCATCCATCCCGTGCGATCAACGTTGTCGAAGAGCATCGAGCTCATGGGTCCCAGGCGGTTCCTTGATGAGGTGTTCCATCGACGGGGATCAGCCTGAGCTAATGTCTGGGACGAGTTGGACAGTGATATGACGTGGTGATCCTTCATTCGGATGTTCGCGTCGGCGTCTCCCCTTCCATGAATCTAAGGAACTTAATGAAACCCTGACCATGGCGTCCTCATCCCTGGCCTCAAGGCCATCTTGCATATTGGTGGGCCGACCAGGTGCTTTTGTCAACGGAGACATGGGTGCGTTGGGCGGTAGTCGGAAGCCCAGTCCGGCCTGATGTCTATCTGCCTATCTATCTAGGGTCTAATGAGGTGTAACAGGAACCGGAGGGTCATATATGCATGAATGCATGTTATATTGCTAGTTTCTGGCAGGCATGGGGGGGGGGGGGGGGGGGGGTAGTATGTAGGAAAATCGGTTGGTTCATAGGTTTCAGCCTCGCCTGGCTAGGCTGATAGTTATCTTCGACTATCCTCGACTATCTTCGACTAAGACTATTTTGGGATAATCTGAATGTATCTAGTGGACTGACGCTTACGCGAGTCACTTTTGGATGATGCATGTACCACGAACCTCTGGGAAAGAAAGAAAGTCAATTTGTGCAAGCTGTCACTCGCTTCTGAGGGGAAGTGGAGAGCCTGGAATTATCATGGATGGATTTCTGCCTGACTTGTTTTCTACCCCGGTCTGGACCAAGATTAGCCGTGCAGATGAAGGAACTGTGAGGTGGAGTTGACGGGGTCAAAACTGTTGGCTTCCCGGTCTTCCATTCAATGCGCGATGGGGGAAAGAGGGGGGAAGGCTTGCGCCCAAATCTGTCCCTGAAATGAAGTCCCTGGTTCGTACAATGAGTGGGAAATTTCTGAAAAGCTTCTGAAAACAAAAACCTGAGTAGCAGCAAGCAGCACGCTTGCCTGAGGCCGTTGCGGGGCCAGTCGAGGTTTGTTTCCATGGATCGATTGATTGTTTTGTCGCCGGGCCTCGGAAGCGTACCAGTCTTTGTCTTTGTCTTTGTTTCTCTCCTTCCTTTCCCCCCCTCTTCATCTCTCCTTCTCCATTCTTTTCTCTCCATTTAGCGCTGGCTAGCCGGCTAGCTGGCTAGCGATTGAGCTATCAATCGGCTTACTACTCCGTTCTCGCCTAGCCTAATGGTTCGTTGCTGTCTTGCTGTCTTATGCAGGTGCTTTTCCCCATTGTCATTACGGCATGCTTTCGCACAAGTCGATCTACTTGTCATGTTGCAGATTGAAAGAGATACCTACCTCTCTCTAGCGTCATGGTTCTAATTCTAAAACAGCCGCATGGGCCAGACTCCCAGAGAGAAAAAAAACTGAAATCAGAAATGAAAGGGAAATGCGACAAGGGCCGAATGAAAGCACACGTATGAATGCCCAACTGACGCGCCAGAAAGAAAGCAACGAATCATACTGGCGTTTCTGGTGCAAATTGGTCTGGGTCGAGTAGACCCCGATACTCTTTCCTCTTCGCTGGCATCTGGTGTCTCCTGCAGAGACAGATAATAGTTTTCTTCGTTCCCCGGTACTTAGAGCCAGCTGGGCTGGTCCACGCTAGTTCTGACCTGACTCTTGATTCTTTCTCGGCTGCATCCCTGTCACCCGTGAAGGTTGACTTACCGCGCGATACTCACAGCATGCAAGCAAGCCCTGGTCACCCTAGCGCCTGCAGCTTCCGGCTTCCTTCCCCCCTCCCCCCCCCCTAGGGATGAGCTCATGCAGAGCGGCCCGGTCTGTAACCGTTTGATTCTAGGGCTGAGGGGGAGGCAACGAGTGGATGGAATCAGGGCTACGCTTTCGGTCCGAATTGAATGAAATCATTAAATCGTTGATGAGCTGGCAGCAGGACCTCGGGGCCCGCTTCGAATTTGCTGAGTGGTCCAATGGAGGTTTACCTCGATCCGATATCTGGCTTCCATTCGTCCTTCTACCGTCCTATGGGGCTTCCCTCCGCTTTTGGGCAACTAGACCAGGCCGGCCTCCACCAGTGTGTTCCTTCCAGAAGGGACGGGGGTCCCTGTCCTGAAGAGCTTCTATGAGGCGAAGTGGCTTGTTCATACCCGATGTTCTCCCATGCCCTTACGGAAGCGGAGGAGCAGAGGATATGCGAGACAGAAAGAGCGAGCAAGCGAGGGAATGCGCAAGCGCAACAGCACCAGCATGTTTCCCCCCCTCCCTAGCAGCGGGAGTAGAGCCGCGAGCCACGCCGTCGATAGGGGTTGGTGGTCTTTCTTGCGGTCTCGCTGAGTTGGCCAGCAAACTGGCTGCGAACTGACATACTTGCCTGTACAACATGCCGTCTTGGTCTCGGATTACAATTGCTGGCCAGTCGATGCATCGGGCTTGGGTGGGGGCTAGCGGCCATCCTCCCTGGTCTCTGGCGTTTCTTCAAAGGGCACACTCTCAGTCGTCGTGCGGCGGGCCGTTCCAGCTTGCAGCCTCAGAATGATCCGCAGGTTCTCCATGCTACTTGACGTGCCTTGAGTGGAGGATAATGGAGGGGGGGAAGTTGCTGACGCCGTGCCATGTTTACCTGCCACATATGCATAAGCCCGTCTGTTAGGTTTGATGATTAGGTGCCGTGTTTGACACGCCGAAACCGTCTTGCACAGAAACTCCCCTCTGGGGCTTTGAGGGATGGCCCACAGTTTATATGACTCCCCGCTTCCCATATCCTCTCGAGGTCTGTCCCGATGGTTTTTAGAAAATAAAAAGAAGTCCGAGACGCACTGCAAGAACAACCTGGAAGGGGCCCGCGCAGAAATTTCTTATTGCTTATAATATTCGTTTGATTTCTCTATTGTCTCTATCTGGTTGTTGCAGACCCCACCGTCAATTGAGTTCGTGGGTCGAATCTCCTAGCCGTTTCGTGCTTGTCAAGCAGGACAAGACCCTACCTAACCCGATTGATTTAATTATCCTGTCGGTTACGCTCTGCCTTTAGGCCCAACCCAACATCCAGCATTGGAACCGGGACGACTGCTGGCTATTGTTAGGTACTCCGGAGCGCGAGAGAGAAGAGATTGCTCCGCCTCCACGCAGCCCAGAAATTCAACCCACTGTGTCCCTCTCTCCGTCCCGCCAGCCAGGGAAAAAAAACCCGCCGCCAGCCATTGATCGACGAGACTCTTCACAATGTCCGGTGCCCATGCTTTGTATGCGGACACTACGCCATCCCAGGGGAAAACATGGCAAGCGAGACTGGAGGGTATGCCCCACTTTACTGCAATCCCTCAGGAGTTACGTCGATTGACTTTTGATCCGGTCAACTAACCCTCGGAAACCAGATCACTGCAAAGAGAGCGGTGTCCCTGCCCCGAATTTCGTGATTGTCTCCGATCGTCGAGGTAAGCAGACTGTCTTCCAGTTCGTCCTGAGTATCTTTGAAGACGTGCGTTTCGGCACCGAGCGAGGAAGAGAAAGAGTGGAGTCGATGTTCATGCCTACCAGCCCCTCTTCCCCCTCTTCACCGACTTTTGTCCTTTTGGCCGTGGAAAGTGGTACCAGTGACTGACAGATCCGTCCACTTTACTGCAGGAGGTCGCACGGCCTGGTCCAGCTCGGTCACCGTCAAAGGCATGTTATTCAAGGCTCGGTTTTGGTACGATGGCAAGAACCTCGACAATGCCCGGGAAGACGCCGCCGAACTGGCCGTGAACTACTTCCAGGGGGTTAATCAGAATGCCCGGCCGGGAGTGTACCCTCGGGGGCCCGGTCGTTAGGAGATGAGGGCTTCCTCTCGTGCGGATGGACATACTGGGAATTGGCGTATCTTGGGACGGCTTGTGGTTTCTATTTTCCTTCTCTGTCGCTACGCCCAATACGTTGTGTTGTGTACGACGCGTCCCGGACTGAAGCGAATTCCTCGAATCTCGCCAACATGTACAACACGGAAACTCGGCGGTCGACAATCTCTTTTGTGCATTTCCCTTCTTTATCTTCGAGTGTTGGGACGGGAACAAACCATCCGGGGGCGGATGGCGGATCCAGACAGCAGCATACTATTTTACTTCTTTTTCTTCTGTGGTGGAGTGGGCAGACTGCGGGAGAGGGGGATCTCAGCAGGAGGAGCATTATCCACGGGGTTGGGGCTGGGTTTGGAAATCGGGCGGTTTGACGATGACGTTGGCTGAATGGCAGTGTTCTCAGGCAACGGACGAAGGCACGCATGCGCCCACCTCTTCGGCTTATTGCCTATGGATGGCTCGCCTGGACGTGCTATGGGAGATTGTGGCACGATCTTTGATTGACGTTGACGACAGCACCGCTAATTTATGATGAAGAATTGATGATTTACTTGTTCATTCTACTGCTTATGGGGGTAATGACAATTGTGGGAAGGATGGAACATATCCCAACGGAGAGGGGGCAAGGCTACACGACTACTGAGTCACTGAGTGTATCAGGGTGAGGAAGGGAAGGGTTAAGATACTTAGATGATGTAATTTGTAATTTGTTGGAGTTGAGTCAAGGACTGATGTTGTCTTCTACTCCATCATAATTGATTAGAATTTGGCTAGCACAGACAACAACTTAACTTTTCCTCTCCCCTGACTTCAAACCTAACCTTAAACCTGTGAATAATATTCCCCATTCCCCCGTGGTGATATGTAACTGTGTGTGCGGCAGACAAGCAGCACTCACCGCACTTACCCGGGAGAAAACAAAAAGAAAAAAAAAGAAAAAAAAAGAAAACCAAGAACAACAACACACGGACCATTCTTCGTGCCTTGCTTGCCTACCCTCCGTGCCCCCCCGGGGGCCCTTTTTTGTCCTTTTTTCCCTCTTTTCCTCTTTTCTCCAATTCTCCATAATAATGAAATCCCTCCCGAACCCAGTACCATGGTTCACTCGCACATCATCGGATTTATCCTAACCACGCATCGTTAAACCCCTGCTACTAGTACTAGTACTGTACATAGTAGGAACTTAGTTTGTGATCCTGGTCCTGGGCGAGAATTGGGCGGTGGTGGGGGGGAAGGGGATGGTAGGAGGTTGGCCTGCGCTTTCCCACGTGTTTTTTCCTTGGTCGTGGTGAGTCTGGTGAGCTGGGAGGAATAGGTTTTGCTTTGTCGTTACGGGGAACAGGGCAGGGCAGTGAGGATTTATACGAGTGGTTGGTTTGGTTGTACTGTCCTGGGCTGGGGGTAGAGCTGTGTGAGTGACTAGCTAGCTTGTGGTGGTCTTGGTGGATTTTCTGCAGTGGTTGGGTGGATAGGGCATTCGTGAGTCTTGACGTTGGGGAGAGGGAAGGGATTGAGCCATTCGGGGAGAATGGTGGTTGTACGAGTCTCGTTGCTTGAGGATGACAGACTGCGTAGACGTGATGGGCCTTTTGTCAAGTGTTGTATAGGATAACGGTCCTGGACCTCCAATTGCCAGACTGCACAGTGGGTAGTAGGGGCTTGGGAATGTTGGCCGGTCATGGCTCGATCGTTAGTTGTGCCTGTGTTGATGGTGTTGTATACTCTACATTATCTTTCAATCTAGTCTTTGTCGTCAATGACAATCAGACCAGTGGACACGCAGACAACACCCAATCGGGTAATACAGCCCACGTGACCTCGCACCGCGTCGCGACCGCGTCCCGCCGACCTACGGAGTATACACTTTTCTCTCCTCCCCAAACCTCAAACCTCACACCACCAACCACCACCTCACGCCTTCACATACCCCCGAGGATACCACAACCCCACCAACAGACCATCAAAATGCCACCCTCCGCCGAATCCGCCCCGACCCCTCAACCCGCCCTCCACCCGCCCTCCACCCCGTCGACCCCTCCGCCTCCCGCAACCGCCCCCCTCAACCCACCGCACGACCCCTCGCACGAAGAACACCAATACCTCAACCTGATCCGCACGATCCTGTCGCAAGGCGAGGACCGGCCCGACCGGACAGGCACGGGCACACGGTCAATCTTCGCGCCGCCGCAGATGCGCTTCAGCCTGCACCAACCCGGCCCCACCCCAGAACAAGAATACACACCCATCCTGCCCCTCCTCACGACCAAACGCGTGTTCCTGCGCGCCGTGGTCGCCGAACTCCTCTGGTTCATTTCCGGCTGCACCTCCTCCCTCCCGCTCTCGGACGCCGGGATCAAGATCTGGGACGGCAACGGCAGCCGCGCCTACCTGGACAGCGTGGGGCTGTCGCACCGCGCCGAGGGCGACCTGGGCCCGGTGTACGGGTTCCAATGGCGGCACTTCGGCGCCGCATACGTCGACGCGGCCACCGACTACGCGGGCCAGGGCGTCGACCAGCTGGCGGCGGTGGTGCGCCAGCTGCGCGAGACGCCCTTCGACCGCCGCATCATCCTGAGCGCGTGGAATCCGGCCGACCTCACCAAGATGGCCCTGCCGCCGTGTCACATGTTCGCGCAGTTCTACGTGAGCTACCCGGCGGGCATCGCGGCGGACGGCACGGGACGGGGTAAGGGCCATCTGCATTGCTTGCTGTACCAGCGCTCGGCGGATATGGGGCTGGGCGTGCCGTTCAATATCGCGAGTTATGCGCTGTTGACGCATATGCTGGCGTTCGCGGTGGATCTGGTCCCCGGCAGTCTGACGCATACGCTGGGCGATGCCCATGTGTATCTGGATCATGTGGAGGCGCTGCGCGAGCAGTTGACGCGCGAGCCGACGGCGTTTCCGGAGGTGAGGATTTCGAGGGCGGATCGGGGGAGTGGGGTGGTGGATGGGTGGCGCGAGGAGGAGTTTGAGGTGCTGGGGTATCGGCCGCATAGGGCGATTAAGATGAAGATGAGTGTGTAGCTGTGCTGTTGGGTTTGGCAGCGGTTCCTGTATAGATTGAACTGCGTGACTGGGATAGATATGTGCCTTAATATGATAGATATGGATATGCGTTTATGAAAGCAACAAGCAGTGGTATATGGGTAGTAAGTCCTCAGCATTAGATGCGAAGCGATGCGATGCGATGCGATGTCCAACTCCGGCTCCAGAAACCAAATCAAGCCCTCAAGAAAATCCCCCCCAAAATTCAAAGGATAACCCCCGCCCCCCGCAACAACACCAACGTATCCCCGGCGACCACCTTCTCGGTCAGCGTATCCCCAAACTCCAGAAACACCCCGCCCTCCACATGGAACACGCGCAAGCGCTCCTCCTCCCCGGCGACCCGGTTATTGACATTCTCCACCCCGAGCCTTCGCGCCGCGTCGTCCAGCACCCGCCCGACCTTCCACCTCCCATCGAACCAGAACGCCCCTGTCGCTGCCCCTGCCGCTGCCGTCGCAGCAGACCCCTTCACAGGAGAAGCCGCCGCCTCAACAGAGAGGTACACCCGCCGCTCCGCAGGCACATTGGCATCCCCCTTCGCGGTCCGCTTGAGCGCGTGCACCGCCATCGCGCGGTTGCCGGGTTTTTTCTTGCCGGTGGTGGCGGCAGCAGCCCCCTTATCCCCTGGATTCCCTGTGCCCTTCCCCGCTGCTGCGCTGCTACCCCCGGAGGTCGATGGAAGCGAGGAAGCGAACGTCCCGCGCACCCGCGCGAACATCGATTTTAGGGTGTCTGCGCCTGCTTTCCCCCCCCGGGAGGGGGGAGGGGGAGGGGTGCAAGCATGCCCCTCCTTCAACCGGTGCTTGAGACAGTACTCCCGTCTGCACTCGGGACACCGGACGCCCGGCTCGGTGAGCGTGTGGATGAGGGTTTTGCAGGTGAGGTGGCTGCATTGGTCTGTTGTGTGGATGGTTGGTTTGGTTTGGGGCGCGGGGGAGGTGGATGAGGCTGCGGTTGAGGTTGAGGTTGAGGGTGAGGGTGAGGGTGAGCTGGTGGTTGATGGGGCTGCGGCGGCACGCGCCCACTCGCCCGCCCGCGCACACTGGTGGGCGGATTCGGTGCGGTGGTCGAGACAGTATACCCCCCTGCAGGAGGCGCAGCGGAACGGCAGGAAGTCGAGTTGGTGGCAGTAGGCTAGGTCGCAGTGGTGGCCGATGCTGTCGAGGTCGGTTTCGGGCATTTCCCGGGGGTTGGTGGTAGTTGTGTTGCCACTTGGGCTCCCGCTTGGGGGGTGGGTGGACATTCTTTCTTTCTGTTCTTGGGGGGTTTCTTAAGGAGGTAATGAGTGATGTGTTAGGCGGAGTGAGAGTGGTTGTGTTTAAATGAAGGTGGGTGGCTGAGACATGCAAAGGCAAAGGCAAAGGCAAAGGCACGGCAAGCCCCAAGGCGATGGTCTTAATTACTCATGTCTTCTGGCGGTTGCTGGAAGGCTCCGCAACGGAGCGGAGATGGAGTCAACTGACCTGACTCAGCGTGGCGGTGCAACCACCCACCCACTTATCTGATGGCGGAGATTACCTCGGAGATAATACCACACCACTCAAGGAACAACTATTCTGCAAAATAAAAAAAAAGCTAGTCAAGGGGTATATCACAACACGTCACGTCAAAACAAACTAGATCAGCAAATTATAGCATGCCCTCTCCCAAAGAGTACACCATCCAATCAACGGTCCTCCGCTCGATGTCCCCCTTTCTCCCTCTTCTCCCCCTCCCCAACCCCAGTGCTGCCCGGTGCAAACCGAATCGCCCCCCGCGACAGCAACACAGGCAGCCCGTTCCCCAGCGGCTCGGACGCCGGTGGTAGGTACAGCCTCGACTGCGGCTGCCCCGGGGTCAGCGGCGGCGACATCAGCACCGCGTCTCGCGCGGAGTCATCGGCATGCTTCCAACTCCCTCCTGCAGAGCCACCCCCAGAAACCGGCAACGAGTCCACCGACAACGGGGGCATGACTGATGCAGGGGCTTTCGTCTTCTGCTGTTGCGATTTGGTCTCCTGCCCGGGCAGCTGTGGTTTGATCTCCCCCTCCTCCCCGATCAGCTGCTGCGACTGCAGCTTGGCCTCCGCCTCACCCAGATATCTATCCGCCTCACTACTACCGCGCACACCTCCCTCCCGACTAGCCACCCCGCCCGCAGACGCAGCGGAGCTGCTCTTCGCGCCCGCCCGCTTCGGCGATCTAGGCGGCTTTGGAGCCTTCGAAGGGACCTTGGCCCCGTTCGCACGCCTCCGTTCCTCCGCGGCCCGTCGCTCGCGAGCGGCATTCTCTTCCGGGGACGGAACCTTCAACTTGATATGCAACTTGCGCACCCCGGCAGCCAGATTATCGACATCATCGCCGGTGTGCTTGTTCTCCTCCTTGCTCGCCTCCTTGCTCTCCTGGTCCTCCAGGCTAGGCTGAAACTCCGGCGGCACTCGTGGCACAGGCGGCGCACCGTGCGCACCCTCGCGTTGGGGCGTGCTGGATCGCGAGCCTGCCCTCAACGCACCCGTGGCAGCGACCGCCGCGGCCTTGGACAGCTCCCGTGCACTGGCATCGCTGCTGACCGATCCGGCCACCGAAGGGCTGGCGGACACCGCGCTCTTCCTCCGCGCGGTCCGTACAACCGGTGACGTCTGCGGCCCCCGCTCCGGAGGGGCGTCGATGGTCGTCCTGCGCGTGCTGCGCACGGCCGGCCGTTTCGGCGTTTCAGCCTGGGGGCTGGGCGGCAACGAGGGCTTGGGCTTGCGCACCCGCAGTTTCATCCGGTTGTCCTCCGGCGGTGCGGGAGGTGCGCTATTGGTGCTGGGGGTTGCGCTGCGAGCCGCCGTCGTGGCTGCCTGCCGCTCCCGTCGCAAGCGCGATGCCTCGGCGTTCAGCTCCTCCGGCCGACAGCTGGTCGTCTGCCGATGTGTCGGAATTAGCACTCTGAAAAGCTCGTGGGTGGACGTGGCCCAGCCGACCGGCGGCAAGGGCGGGCGCGCCTCGGGCTCGGCACTGTAATAAGAGCCTATTGACCGGCGGTCGCGCGAGGGGTTCACGACTTTGGCGGTAAAGGACTGGGTGGGTTGGAAATAGGTCGGCGCCGCTTTCTCCCGGGGTTTGGCGGGCGCCAACGGCGGATACACCAGCGCTTCCAGTTCCTCCAGCATCCCCGGCGCCCACCACTCGCTGTCGTAGCCAGGTTGGGGTCGCACCGCCTCCACAGGCAGGGTGTCAGACAAGCCCAGACGGTCGGTCATCTCAGATGCCAGGCGATCGATCCGTTGGTCCTCGTCAATCTCCCGGGTCTCGCTCAGCCCCGCCAGGTGGCTGAGCACCCCACTGGTCAGCGCGCGATTGCTGTAGCCGCCCTCCAGGACACTAATGACGCGCCCGTCCGTTCCCAGCCCTTCTTCGTTCGCCAGCCGAACCACATCCGCCGTGAATCTGGCGTAGAACTCGGTCGGAACGTTCACCTGATGCCGCTGCATGCCGGCCCCCTCCCACTCGCTGGCGTCAAACCCAGCAGACAGAAAAATAGCCGCCTTGGGCGGGGGGCCAGTCGCGGCGCTGGCCAGTCGCTGCGTATGCAGTCGTAGGAATGCGCGCGCTTTCGCTAACAGAATGCTATACTTGGTCGTGTACAGCTCCCAGAACTCCTGGTTGGTCTTCCAGGGCTCCAAATGCACATTCCAGATCGATTGGCCGTGGGCCTTGTCGATGCACACACTCGCATTGCGCACCTTGTCCGCGTCGCCCGTCTCGCAGGGATACGAGTTGATGTCATGCAGACTGAAGTATCCCACCATGGTTCTCTTGTGCGCCGCAGCGTTCCGGGCGGCGGTGCCGGCTTTCATGTTCTGGTCCCAGGCGATCTCCTGCGAGCCATCGCCGTGATGCAGATCGAAGTCCAGGATCGCGGCGTGCGTCAGGCCGTGGGCCATCGCCGCATGCGCGATGCCCACGTGAACATTGTTGATCCAACAGAACCCCGATGGGTGGCCCGAGGAGCAGTGGTGGCCTGGCGGGCGGATGCAGACGAACGCTCGCTTGGTCGGGCTCGTCCCAAGGACCGCATCGACCGCCTCCGTCACGCCGCCCAGGGCGCCTTCGAAGGCTGCCAGCGACTCCGCGCAGAGATAGAGGTCCCCTTCATGAAGGGCGGGCGCGCTGTTGGCGGCGCTGTCCTTGCCCGCGCTGCGGGGTCGCACCAGCTCCTTGCCGTTCAGGGCCAGTCGCGACTCCGCCGCGTTGCACATGCTCTTCAGCTCCTCCATCCACTGCGCCCCGTGCACATGGGCCACGGCGGGCGACTGCAGCGACAGGGTGCGCGCGGTCCGGCGGATCTGAAAGGGCGGCACGGGCAGCTGGCGCGGATCCAGTTCGGGGTGCGGCGCGTGTCGACCCCCGGCATGCCGGCGCGCCAGGTGCACGTACGCGGCCGCGATGCCCAGCACGGTGGCTTGAATGCGCTCCGGGCGTTCGACGATGGAATTCAGGGCGGCGCGGGAGGTGCGGGGGCGCGCGAAGCGATGGCCGTAGCACGCATCATGTAGCAGCACCAGGGTGGAGGCTTGGACGTCGGTGGACTGGTGCCAGTTCATCTCCTTCTGCAGGAAATCGGCTGCGATCGATGCCGCCGTGGGCAGGGAGCGCTCCGGCGCCGTGGCCGCGGGCATGCTGTTGGCGGCGGCGGTTGGCGGAGAGCACCCCAAGGGGGAGGAGGAGGAGCGTCGCGACGTGGTGGTCGGACGCGGAGAGGCCGAGGCGCCGCGGTTGGAGTGCAGCGATGCGGTCGATGAGCGCTTCTTCAAGCTCGGGGTGGACTTGCGGCGATCGTCCGCCAGGGAACCTGAACTGGGGATGCGCTGAGGGGGCGGATGCGAACGCGCGGGGGGATCGGGGGGCGATAAGCGCGACGATACACGATCGGGAGGAGATGGTGGATGCGGAGTGGCGATGGAGGGATCGGTCGGCGGAGTATGCGTATGAGTACGGGGAGAATAAGAGGACGCAGAATAGTTAGAGCTTGATGTGTTTATCGCGGTCGTAGGTTGTGTGGTGGTGGTGGTGTTATCGGACACAGTCGCAGTGAATGACGCAGGCTCCGCATCGCGTTGTGAGGGGTCCATGACGGGCCCATTGGATGAAGTATAACACAAAGACAGAAGACGACAATCAGAATAGGTGCCCAATGTCTGACAGATTGTGAGACAGAGGGAGTTTATAAGAGTGACGGTAAAGGAGCAGGTGAGACACAAGAAGGGAGGAGGAGGAGTTGTTGTAGTTGTTGTAGTAGTTGTTGTTGTTGTTGTTGAAAGGGAGAAAGCGAAACAGGGAGGGGGGAGGAGAGGGAGAGGGAGAGGAATGAAGGTGGTTTGTTGTAGGTGTGGTTTGGTACGGTTGGATCTTCCCCTCAGGGGTTTAAGGGTTGAACTTGGAAGTACATCCATCCATAGCACATTCCACCCCCATCAATTCACATTTCACATATTCTATGCGAATGAGGAAGTTGACAGCTGACGTCTCTTCTTCTTCTCTCCAATACGCGCAATGATCAACAAAAATTGAATGTATTGTTTGGTCTTGAGAAAGGTTTCTTTTATTGTTTGTTGGTCTTAACACCAAAGTTCAAACCTGATGCAGCCCAGCCCATAGACAATGAGGGGAATCTCTTGTTGAAGCAGTGTCAATCACCAGTTCCACCCAAATAATATACTCCAGGGTAACATGCATACTGCACACTTGCCCCCCAAGTGCTGCTTGAAAATGGACAGCAAAAATTCCCTAGAATAACGCCCTGCACCCTGTTTCCTTGGTGGATTACACCAGGTTCATGAAACGCCTGTTAACCCCCATCCCAAATCCCGAATAAAACCCTCTAAACCCACAGCCGCAGCGCAGCGCCTTGCCAGCAAAGCAAAAGAAAAGATTAAAACAGCCACCAACACCGATACATGACAAAGGAAATGGCACGACGAAAAGAAAAAAAAAAAAAAAAAAAAAAAGGTCCAAGACATAGGAAAACAGGCAACGAGAGAATATTTTGTTTTTGGGTCAATATCCCTCTAGATCGTGCGCGATCGGAAGTGGAAATGGTACCACTTGCGCCGGCGGGGCTCCAGCGAGCTCTTCTCGCTGCTGGAGCCGCCGCTGGAGGAGCCGCTGGAGCTGCCGGTGGAGCTCGTGGAGGCGCTCATCATCGACAGGCGCTTGCGCTCCTGCTTGCGCTCGTGCTTGCGGCACTTGCGCTCCGACTTGAAGCCGCGCGTGGCGTGCAGGTGGCAGAAGCATTGCATGTGGACTGTTTTGACGTCGAGGCTGGAGCAGCTGTCGCGGCTGCGCTCGGTGCAGTAGTGCTCGCCGGCGGCCTCCTCGCAGTGGCACCAGGAGTAGATGGTGAGGTATTGTTGGCACATGTTTGTGGTGGGTTGTGTTGTGGAGAGGATGTAGGTGGAAAGATATAGTTCGGCGGGTAAGAGTCAATTCAAGTAGGGCTCGTCTGTTTAGCCGGAGCAGGTCTGATAGTAAGACAAACACCAACCCAGGTTCACTCGCGGAGGATCGACACCAAGGTTAAATATGTCAATCGAAAGAGACCCAAGAATAAAAGCCGAGACGTTCTCCGGTAAGTGCCCAAACTGAGGGTGAAGAATGAGTAATCGAGTCAGGCAGTCGGTGTGGACAGCCCTGAGGGGGGAGAAAAAAGGTCGCACTGGGCGTTTCTTCGTTCGTCCCGCGGCCTTCCGGGCGTTTCTCGGAAGGGCAAGTCAGACAAAGTGACAGTTTGCAGGTGGAGGCGGAAGTGGATATCCCGTCCAATTTGTCGGAATCAAAGTTTTTTTTTTCCCAGCAGGGGGGTCTGTTCTTTGAATCTTTTCCCGTGTTCGGTGGTGTAGGAGCGTCGCTCTCGGATAGACGGCCGTGAGATTCGTGTTGGTGGTTGACGAGGTGTTGAGTGGAAGTAGTGATAGTGGCGTAGTGTTGGAGTAACACCCAGCAAGAGGAAGTATATCAAGGATCTATACTTCCACCAGTCACCAGGACGAGTTGAAGGTGAAGATTGAGATAGAAGATAAGACCACGAGGGAAGAGGGGGGGGGGGGGGGGGGGGGGGGGGGGGGGGGGGGGGGGGGGGGGGAGTGAGAGGGGGGGAGGTTCGGTATATTATATTGTTAAGTTAACCGTTTTGTCTAAAGAGGCAGAGAAAGGAGTTCTAGCCAGAAGGGGGAGGGGGAGAGAGGGAAAAGAGAGGATTATTATGGAGTAAAATTAGATCTCGAGTCAAGTCGGTCGGCGATTCGCAATGATGCACGTCCCCCAATGGATCATGACATGGGGGGACGGAAGTGTGGAGGGGGCAATGGTAATCCTCAGCATTATATCATGGGTCATCAACATCATCATCGTCGTCGTCGTCGGTTGACTGCTCAGCTGTTCTGCAGCAGTACATGGATTGATTTGCTTTTGACGTCAGGCCCGAAGCGCTGCGGTGGAGTTACGGCGTTTAATTCCCTTCAGCAGGAGCAGCAGCAGCAGCAGCAGTCATTATGCCAACAGCCACACACCCACGAGGTACATCTGGACATCCGGCATACGACGGAAGGTAAAGCAATAAGAAGAAAAAAAAATCAAAGACCAAAAAGAAAGCCCCAAAGAAGCCAAAAAGGTCATGGTCAGGTCGCATCATCCGGGGGAAGAGTATGTAATCGACTCTTTTGGGAAGGGGGGAAAAGGGAAAACCATTGGAACTCCTTTTTCTCTCCCTCGGGACAGTCCAGGTACAGTAAGTACACTTAACAGTAACCAAACTATCAGGTCAAAAGTAGGCGACAAAAGCCGCAAATGCCACCCCGAGTCTTGGCTCGGTGTCTGGACCGTCTGGATCTTCGATTCTTTCTAATCGATGGGGAGTGAAGAAAGACAATCGGATCAGGGGTAGCACAGTTATGTACAGTACAATGAAGTATTATTTCAATAGAAAGAGCGCCCGCCGTTGTGAAGCGGAAGAAGTGCACATCAACATCAATTAAAACCCCATCATGGACGTCAACCCAATTGCACATTCCTGCAAGTGGGAATCAGCATAAAATATCCGGTGTCGGACCGAGCCAGGGGGGCAAGGGGGGGGGGGTGAGTAACAAAATGAAGCGAATTATGCATCAGGGGGTAACTAGAGGTGGTTCTTCCCCCCCGGGGCAGATCATTAAATTATCCCGACTCCTACTTTTCCTCATTACGACGCGGTTCCGGTCTCCGGTCTCTACGGAGTTACATTGACAGCACGGAGGAGAGGGACTGGACGGACTATGTACTAAGTGGTAGACTCGCAAACCCCTACTCAAGAGATGAGAGCCGACCCTTGATAGTAAATTGCTACCCCCTGGTCTATGCGTGCATGCCATATGGGATTTTGATTAAAAGCCCCCCCCAATTGTCAAACAGTAGTTCGACGGGACGTTTCTCTAGCTTCTTCTCGTGACAGCCACGAGGGAAGTAGAGCCTAGTAGACTATTGATTGATTAATTTTGATTAGGTGGGCATTCGCAACAGCCGAACGGAACGGCCTTTGACTCTTTGAATCGTTCTGCAGTCGACCATCGGGAATAGTTGCCTGTGGAAATGAAATTGAACCGGAGCTCGACTGGAGAAAAACCCAAACGAAATTAACGAAGATTAGGAAATAAATGGGGAGGCCTAGCCGGTGGGAACAATATTAATTAATTACTTCGAGTCTTAGACAGGTAGACTATTTGTTCGCTAGACTTAGAGAGGGTGGACACCGTGACAAGTTGGGAATGGGCCCCGGACGGACATCGAAGCCCGAATGGTTTGGCTTCTAGTGCGATCGGAAGAGCGAAGGAGAGAAGATGGACGGACGGACTGACTGACTGGTTGACTCTCTTTTCACCACTCACTCACTTAACTCCAACTCCAGCTAAGAGAAACCAACTCAACGTTCTGGATCGCAGTCGCCAAAAGGTCTCGTCTCTCACGTCCTCACGTCCTCACGTCATGACATCAGCTGATTTTCCGGGGGAAAAGGGCCTTCTTGGCTGTTCCCGAGACCAAAGTAACCGCAAACCACATCACATCATCCATTGAGACCGTATACTCATCATCATCATCATCCATGCATTTTTTTGCCTCTTGGGGCGAATAATGCATGGATGACGACGATGAACGGGTGATCGGGCATGACGAAAGCGGCCATCTGCACTTCTCCTTTGGAACCCGGTGGGGACCGCCACGTCCTGATCGGGAATCTGCCGGAGCCGATCTCCCGGTATCACGTGTGAGCTTGGACCCGAGCGGGCTTAGTCTGCTCTAACCCATGATGATCGGCCTGAGGGGGGAAAGGCCTGTGGCTGACTCAGCTGATGATGGTCGGGTCGATCGACCCTCTTGCTGACCTGATTGGAGGATCCCTTCACGAACCATAACCCCTCTTTTGTCTTTTCTTTCCCCCTCGTCTGTAGCCCCAGAACAGCCTTACCTTGACACTGCCAGACTGCATCATCGATCAGATAACATCATCGCTGTCGACATCATATCGGATTATCCTGAAGATAGAGCTTGGAAGGCGTCTCGCTCTGATCAGGCCTCCCTAGCCGTGGACAGGCTCAACACCTACGATTTACATGCAGGGCACACACATCAAGAAAACAAAATAGGCACCAGCGTCATACCCAACCAACTCCACCATGCGATTTACACAGACCACCACAGCAACGCGCGTACACTTGCCCACATTACCCATCCGCTAACATCAGAAACGAAGATTACTGCCCCCATGCAAAAAAAATAAAAAAAGGTATATACGGCCGGGGGTCAAAAAGTCGAACAAGTAATTACACAGGTGCCTGCGGCCATGTGCCCTCCCCCCTCGGAGTGAGCGAGGGCAACGAATAAGAAGTAAGGGGAATAAGTAAATTAGTTTTGGATGAGGAAGACCATTAAACTTCCGACGCTCTCTCCCTCCCTACAATACTCCTTGCGACAGCCGTTGCTCCATCTGCTTGGCCAGTGCTTGCGGCACCGCTTCTTGCGTGGCGCGGATAGTGACTCGGTACATCTGTAATTGGTCAGTCGGTCGTCAATCAACTTCAGTAAAGCGAATCTTACCTTCCGCTCGTAGTTGGGCTCCAGTCGCAGAAGACAGCCCGTCTTCCCGTTGACAAACTGATAGACCGCGCAACCCACAATGTTCTTCCCATTGGGATCGACGTTGTCCAGGATCTTCCAGCCAAATCCTTCCACCACCCGCCGGGTGAACGCTTCGCTGACATCCTTGGCCCGTGCCGCCACCGCAAAGGTATTCTGCGCCTCCAGCGGCCCCCCGCCAATCTGCCGCCACCGTTTGAAGAAGTCTTCGGCAGACAGCGCCGATGGCTCCATGAACCGATGCATCAGGATCGGCAGCTGCAGCGTGTAGGCCTGGAGTGCGCCAGCAAGGTACGAGATGCGAATCGTGGGCGCATCCGTGAATGGCCCGTGCGATTCCACCAGCAGCGTTTGCTGCGTTTGCCCGGCCGCCGGCACAGACGGCTCGGGCAGACTTTTCGTGTCAAGCTTCAGATTCGGGGCAGCGCGGTTGTCCAGCGTGGTCGTGAGTGACCCGACCGGGTACGAGGACTTGTTGGAAAGGTAGATCTTCACCACGCCCATGTGACCCCGATATTCCGATCGCAGGCCGACCTGGATCTGCGCATCCTCAAAGAGCACGCCTTCGTCGTTGAAGTAGAGTTTGTTGTAGCCGACATCCCAGTCGGGCGTCAGATGGGCGGCGCTGGCCATGTTAGGAGCAGCAGGGGCGCTGAGATCCAGCCCGGCCAAGTCGCCAGACGCACTGGGCCCGGCAGCTGATCCGTTCGTCCCCGTCTTTGTGCCGTTGACAATCGTGGTGAAACTGCGCTTCAGTCCCGTGTTCTGCGCCATCAGCATCTCCTTCTGGTCCGCATTGGCATCCTTGCCGCCCACCACCCATGTCTTCTTCTCCGTCGCGCCCGCCGTTTTCTGGTGGAGACGGGAGAGCAGGATCGAGGCTCGCTCGGAGAAGGGGGGCATCTCATCGCAGACTGTCCGGAGCAGATCATCCGTGGGAAGCGTCGCCAGCGACAGATATTCAAAGGCACGCTGCTGTAATTCGGAGTCCGGAGAATGGCTGTACAGGCGGAAGATGTGCAGAAGTTGGGGTTTGATTTCGGGGAAGAGGTTGACAAACTTGATGAATGATGACAGGATCATGGCCCGCGTGTTGTCAGTGCTGGTGATCATCTTCGCCTGCAGTGCCAAAAATTGCTCAATCGGGCTCGAGCCCTGACTGTCAGCAATCAGGTGGCCGAATTCACCCAAAACATAACAGCCGATCTTCACCAAGCTCTCATGGCAGTCGGTCTTCAGATAGCCAAGGAGGTTGTGTGCCGCGTAAGCCTGGAGTTCTTCGTTGTTGGTCACGATCTGAATTACGCGCTGCCATACTTCCTCGTTGACGTGGTCACCAGCCAACGACAGCAGCTTGAGTGTCATGTCGATGTACCACTGGGCATCCGTAGCGTATTTCTCCGTGAGAATGGCCACCTTCAAGACCATTTCCTCTCGGATCGCATAGTCGGCAGTTTGAAGATAGCGTAGCAGCTCGTTCACGATTGGGCCAGCATTGGTCGTGTCGCACATACTGTATACTAGATCCAAACCCTTCCGCCGAACACTGATGTCGCGATCTCGCAAGGAGCCAAGAATGATGCTCTGGTGCTTCTTGATGGGATCGAGGGTCTCCGCCCGAGCAGCGAAGTGCGTCAATGCTTCCAATCCTAGATAGCGTACGTTTGTCTCGCGAGATTGGATGTACTTTCCTAGCCGAGCAGAGATCTGTAGCATCAGACTGTGCTCGGTGTCCAGGTGGATAAGAAGGTTGATAGCTTCGAAGAGAACCGCATTCTGGGCGTTATTCTGCTGAACGTTCTTGGGCGCATCCATAGCGGAATTCATGATCTGCTGCAGAGACTCTCGAATGATCTCGCGGACATGGGTGTCGCCTGGCGTTCGGTTAGCATGAAGGGACCACGCAGCGGATCGTTGGTATGATCACAAACCTGAGGGAGGGTAGTACTGCAGCAAGCGCAGCAGCTTCACTTGGATCCACGGACATGGCACACGGTAGTAGAGGTAGTCGGGCGCAATATCATTGTCGACCACAATCCTTTTCAGTCTGAAAGCAGCCTTAACATAACACCCTGCGTATTCCTCCGGCTTGTCCTGGGCCAGTGCCATGACCAGCGATGTGACCGACAGAGTGACGCCCATGTCGGGATCGTCCATAATGGAGATTATGCGTTCCGCCCACTCGGCCTGTACAATGCCCGGGTACTTGCGATACAATCGGAGAAGGGTAAGGGCGGCCTTCTTCTTCACGAAGGCTTTGGAGGTCCTAGTCACGAGAATCAGCAACCCATTCTAACACCATCAAGATTCCCCTCCCCTGAGACCACCAGGCAATCAACTTACGGCGAAATCAGCAACCGGTGCACATCCGTCGAGAGCGCCTCGCCCATCTCCCGCCCACCGACGTTAGCCACCGCATGGAGCGCCAGACAGTTATTTAGCTCGTTGTGGTCCAGCAGATCCTTCCGAATACTGTTGACCACCAGGTGAAGGAGTTCGTGCTGCTCGTGCAAGAACAAAGTCACCGCCAGATACCCGATCTGCTTCTCGGAGTATTTGGTGGAGGAGATGAGGTTGACGGCCTCCAGGTGACCGAAGTCGACGTCGTAGCCCTGGATGTAGACGTAGAGCAGCTTGCAGACGTATTTCTTCTTCTGGTACCCGTTCAAGCTGCCGCCCTTGAACTTCTGGCGGATGTTGGCCAGCTCTTTGTTCACCCGCTTCTCTTCCAGCTCGCGCGCTCGTGCGTTACGCAGGTCGGCGATGAACTGGACCAAACCCCGCATGGACGACATGTTGGGCGACGGAGCACGGGGCGAGGAATATTAGAAAATAAGTGATTAGAAGGAGCGATGGGTGTGGATTAGAGGTGCGAAGGTCAGTTAAAGATGCTAGCTTGGCTGAAAGAAGAAGATAGATTGAGGCCAGTCGCTCCGTCGGTCGGTCTCTCTCGGACTCGGGTCGAACGGGGTGGGCGGATTCACTGCGTCCGTCCGTTGCATGCAGTTGTCGCTGCGTGATGGAACAATGCGGGGAGGTTCGTCGGTTTGATTTGTGTTTCTCCGCTCAGTATCTTCGGAGTGCATGGAACATGGCGTGGAATGCCGGTGTGGAGAGCGAGCGGAGATCTAGAGGAGAGGAGAGGGGGGGGGAGTGTAATCTGATGCGCACCAGGGGGTTTGACAGTCGAGTCGCAAACTGGCCGAAGGAATGGAATGGTCGGGAGGCAAGTGAAAACAGTAGATCGTCGTAGCAATTGGAGACACGATCGAATGAAAAAGGCTCTCGCTGGTTTGAAAGGAATGGTAGAAGAGAGAGAGGAGGGGGAAAAAGGTGAAGTTGTCAATCGGGGATCTTGCTGCAGCAACAGCAACAGCAAGTACCGCAGCAATGAGAGAGACCCTCTCCTCGTCAGGAGGGAAACCCAGCCGGGCCTCAGCCACTTCCGCGGCCAATCCGGCTGCGGAAACCTGGAGGAATGTTGATGCGCTGTGGCGGTGCATGCAGGGATCGGACTTAATTTCCTGCATTCGGCCTGCTTATCGTCATTTCTTCCTTAAGATTGGTCCTGGTGAAGTTAGCCAATGCTTGTAGAAACAGTAATGGCGCCGCCTCATCTCACCTGGCACATTAGTTTAATCTAAAATCTAAACTCAGCATAGCCTATGAGACATCCAGATTTGACTCTGCTGTATCACCATACAAGAAGAATCCCCACCCCACCCCTCCCGGTTCCTACAGGAAGGCACTGTACTGTCCGTCGTACCTATCTACTTGATGCACGAACCGTTGTGACTAGTGATTTTCGGATGCAACCTTATCGGATCCCAGGGTCTGCATCTTGGCGGGAACAAGGGAGATTTTCACACCCAGACCGCAGCCCCCCGCGGCATGTGTGTCCGTATTATGGTCCGTGTGGATCATTCTGACATACTCTACTCAGTTGCTCTTCTCATCCTCCTTAGTCGACTAGACAGACCCTGCGACGGATGATTCCCCTACCAGCCAAGGGTCAATTGAGATCCAGCATGTAGCGAACCAAGCTCTACGCAACGCTGCACACTGCAGAACAAAAATGCACCACACAAAGTAATGTTTCATAGGGCTCTAGCCCATTAATATCATTGTCTTGTAATACAACCTCATCCATGAGAAAAGTACCCCATGCTACCACCACCACCCCTCATAATAAAAAAGAAGAAACCGCCCGATCAAACTCCAGAATGAAACTCCAGATCCCCAAACCGTGCCATGCTGTGATAAAAAGAAGGCCCACCGAATGAAAAAAAAAAAAAAAAGGCAAAACGTGAAAGGATCAACCCCATCAGAAGATCTAAAGTTCAAGCGCGGGTGGTGAAGTCAATCTCGTTGCTCTCAGCGGCAGCGTCCACAGCAGCGGCCTTTTCACAGGTGCAAGAAGCTGAAACAGTCCCCATGTTAGCTGATGTTTGGACGTCGCTGCTAGTTGGTTCTGGACTTACTGGAGGATCTCTGGCCGCAGGGGCAGGCATCGCCCGAAACGGGGGTGTTCTCGCTGGGAGCACGCTCACAGGTGCACTGGCCGGCAGGGCGGGCTCCTGAGATTGTGGGTTAGTTTCAGAAAAAAAAAAGATACGGACTGTCCGGAGCAGAACATACTGCAAGAGCAGCGAGGGCCGGAGACAGCGTTCTCGGACGAGGCCTTGTTGCAGGTGCAGTGGAGGGCGTTCTCCTTGCCGCAGGAGCACTTGGCCTGGGCGGCGCAGACGCAGCTACCGTCGCCGGAGGTCTTGCAGCAGGTGGAAGCAGGGTTAACCATTTTGACTGTGGTGGTGGAAGTTGAAGAGTCGAGAAGACAAAAGATCGGTTTGCGAGTGAGAGTGGTAGATACCAATGACGTCACGGGTAGGTGTCGGTTGGATTGCTTTGATGTTTGATGCACGAAGATGCGACTGCAGTGTTTAGGGACGAAGTGACCGTTGAGTGAGAGATTGGTAGCTTGAGTATTTGAGGCTCTTGGTTGATGATGGTTGGATAATTCATTGCAGGGGATCAATAGTTTTTATATTCAACGTCGTTCAACTTGGTAGATTTTATGATTGGCAATCAGCGGCAGCTGATTGGTTGGCTTACAAGAGCCTCCGTGCAGTCCCGTGACTGCAGTTGCATTTGTCGATTTTTGATTCGATCGTCGACCACAGACACAGAATCATTCCAACAACATACCATGCTTGGGTTTGTAATACTCGCAAGCTGGTAGGATTTGCCACTTGGTGACCTGTAGAACTGATTGCTTTTACATCTCTTTTCATTGGATGGTGATAATGTACCTTGAACCTGGCCATGGCCCTGTTCATTCCTAAAGCTGCCATTGGACAAACGAATCAGGCCTTCTGTAACTGCCACTGCCACCTGCTGCATGGCTGCAGCATTACTTACTAAGTACACAGTACTCGGAAGTATGCAACGGCTCCACATCAATGTCAGCCCACTGGCGCATGACGTACTCAATACATATAGTGCTCGTAGAATCTGCCGGCCGACTCAGCTCAATGTTATGGAGTGCGGAGTGCGCAATTGTGTAAATAGTAGGCAAGCATTGATGGCAATCCAGATAATTAGACTAGAATTTAAGTGTTGTATACATATAAAACCGGAAGCCACCCAAGCCCAAAAGAAAGACACGACGCATGCTAAAATGAAACAATAAAAAGAGTAACAGGGCTGAACGGAAGGCCCTCGAGAATAAAAGCAGGTAAAGCAGTTTTGACGCCATGATACGTCCGGTCCCAGCCCTGAGGAACGGAATCCGGAATGCAGTGATGATAACCCCCTTTTTCCTTTCAAATCTTTTTGTGACGAAACCAAAACAGAAGCAAGCCAAGACGATGATTAAGATCAAGACAATATGTATATATCCCGGCAGACGAACGAAGTGCCAATATGTGCAGTGCACGCCAGAGGTAATGGGAGGAGCTGTTGAAGGCAACGATTAAATAGGTATGCAGAACCGGGCAGATTAAAGGGCGGTGTATGGTGAGAAAAGGATGGAAAGGAGATTTCTGAGCAAGCCATCGGGAATTGTGTCAGAGGTAGTTGGCATATTCGAAGGTCTGGTTGCCAAATTTGGCCCTCAAAGGATCGATCAATTGCGGCGGATTGTTGATTCGGTCTTCTGCAGTGCTGACCACCGGTCCTTGGGAAACACTACTGGGTTCCGACGGAAAGGAGGCAGGAAGGCTCATGCTGGAGGCGTTGGCTTGGCTATATGGCATGGCGGTATTCATGTGGTATGGGTGGTGGTCATATGAATAGGGGCGGTAGTCAGGCGCCTCCGAGACCGGGATGGATTGCATGGCGGGTATCTGCCGCCCATGTTGTTGCATATGTGCATTCATGTCAATGCCGCCAAAGGCCTTGGGTGCTGGCATGGCTAATGGTGACTGGTAGGTGTGCGCCTGCTGGTCTATCGCCATCCTCATTAATCTCAAATGCCCGATGGTGTCTGGGTGTGGTTCGCAGGAACTTACTATGCCCATCGACGTTATAGTGTGATTGTTGGTCCGGCTGTCCAGTCGGGGATACAGAGCCCTCGATGGCACGCTGTTGATCATACCCTACAACCATACCATTCGCAGACCTATTGAGACCATATTCCACGGGGCGACGACTGTATGCCATACTCGGATGAACCAACGGCTCGAGCCCAGGCCTTGAATATCGCCCAGGGTAGTGAAGTCCATTGTGAAACGAAGCCTCAGAAAAGCTGCTGGATCTTGGGAACGGGATCGCGCCGCGGTTATGTCGGTTCATGTCGGTAAGAGGTGTATGAGCGCCCCGATTCGCCATGGCGGCTGTATGTGTATAATCATTGAAGTGTCGATCCGGTCCAGCTGAAGGGAATCCATTTGTCGTCGAGGCTGAGCTGAGCGGCGAGATCACATAATCGTCATCATTCCGAGGAATCCCATCGGTAAGTAGCATCTTCAATCGTTAGTATCATTGCTATATGTGAATGTAGATTGGGGAGACGCAACAGGTGCCTCTGAGGTTGTTCTGTGATCAAATGGCGTCCGTAACACTTGGGTTGTATCGAAGTCATCTGGCAATGCTCTGGATTTCAGAATTCGCTCCCGGTCGTTGCTTGTGAGTCGCTTAAGCTTCGCCCGTCTGCATGGAAAGTGTCAGCCTCACAGCTGCATGATAAGGAAACTCAGGTGTGGCAGCGTATACCTGTTCTGGAACCAAACTTGAACTTGCCGTGGCGTCAAGCCAGGAATCTCTTTGGACAGCCGTTCTCGGTGAGCAGCATCAGGGTGTGCCTGACGGGTGAATTCACTCATCAAGAAGCGGGTTTGATTATGAGTCAGTCTGCCGTATCTTATTAGCAACCCGACGAAAACGGTCAGTGTCTATGATTTGCGCACCGGAATCTCTTCATCTTCTTCTTGTCGTGTTTATCGGGTGACTGTTTCTTGTCGCCATTTTCGGACGACGCAGCTCCTTCATCTGATGAAACCATTGCGGCATCTCCATCTCCTTTCTCCTTGTCATGCGCTTCTTCAAGTTTGAACTCAGGTGTTGTCTCTTTCGCATTCTGCGAAACGTCGGCTCCTTCAGCATGTGGATGATGAGGTTCGCTTTGGTTGATTTTTTCCTGTCCCATCTGAACCAATGACTCCGTCTCCGTCTCTGTGTTGTGGTTCACTAAGTTATTATGGGGATTTGTGGCCCCAATGAGCCTGACTGGGCTAGATGAGCCGGCGGCAGCAATCGCTGGAAAGGCATTCTCAGCCTTAATCACAGCGGGCTGCATGTCGGCCGAAGGCGTCTTTGTGGGCTCGCCTTCTCTCTCCCACGGCCCGGGCAATTTAGACGGGATAACCCTCGGCTTGAGTGCGACTTGCTCGCTGCTATTCCAAGGAGCTGTCGACCAATGGTTGGTGATGCCGGGAAGATGTGAAGTAGAAGGTGGTGATAATGAGGACAACCAAACACAGGGCCCGCTGATTGACATGGTAACAGAGGATGTGGACCGGTATACCATGCACAGATAGTAGAAAGAACAGCTGTATGCTGAAGGTGGAAGAGGTCAGGCGTACTGCAGCTGCGAACGCAGATATAGACTCTAACTTGCAACCCAGATGCCAGACCAGGGATGACAGAGTGGGTCTGCACGAGCTGCCGGGGCGCTTGCTGAAGATGCACCGGATCTCCGAGGACGGGTCGAAGACACGAAAGAAAAGAGGAGTAAATGGCAAGTTCTGTGCGTGTGAGACGCAGCAAGTAGTCGACACAGCAGCGTGGACGTTTGACGGCGGGCAAGCGACAGCAAATGAACGACAGCGCTACCCTAGTAATGATCTCCCCCTTGACTTACACTCCGGGGCGATAAAGGAGATTCTCGGCCTCCGCTAGGACCACTGACGAACGGCAAGAAATGAAAGGTCGATCCCTTTGCTGGGTCCAGGATTCAACCGGAGAGGGGGTGGATTGTTACCGGACAGTGGGTAGGAAGGTTATAGAAGAGATTAAACGGTGCCTAGCCCAAGCGGGTAACGAATGCACGATCTCGGGCAGTGGAAATAACGGAGGACGTTAAATGCAGGCCCTGATCACCTCCGGCCAGTGCGAGAGATCCACTTTCAGGTTGGCCACCGCAAGCACAAAACCGTGCTAGTAATGCAGCAGCGCACACGACGGGCAAGCTCCTCCCACGAACGAGTGAGGGGAGGCTGAGAGGACGAACGAGAGACCAGAAGGACAAGAGAGAGGAGGGGGAAGAGGGGAGGGGGGCAAGGGACGAATAATCTTCAGGTCCTCGTACAGGGTGTTATAGCAAACGATAGGTAGATGCCAGCTGCTAACGCGGAGAACAAACTCAAAAGAATGAGGGAAATGAAACTAAGACCGACAGGAACGAGCGTAAGAAAACAGGAAATTAAATGGAACGGGCCACAGCTTGAAGGTTCGGTACACGGAGATCCCAGGCCATCCTACGATTGTCAACTAAACCTCCGGAGGCGTAGCGCCTACTGAGCCATCCAGGACCAGGACCGGAGTGACAATGAAGGTGGGAACGAGGGTGGAAGTGGGAATCCAAAACGGGCTGGGGAGAGCCGGGGGATGCTACCACAATGGATAGGAGGAGGATTGAATTCAGTCTGGCTGCTGCTGTTGTCGTCGTAGTATTTTCGGGGGTGGTCGACTAGTCAGCAACCACAGGAATGACAGCAGCAGCTGTAACCGTAGTTGGAACACTTGCTGGAGAACGTCGTCATCAGACACGGTCCTGACCAACGAAGGAGCCTGAGATGACCACGCTCCGAGGCACCAATAGCCGTTAACTGGCACACCGCAAGACAAGAGTTGACTGGGATTTCGGCTTACAAGTGAGGAGCAGGAATTCGATATCAATGAAGGCAATACGTGGTAGGAGGTGGTGACTATGAGAATAGAATTGGTAGATGGGAAATGCCCAGAGTGTAAAAAGTATCCATGTAGAGTGCCGAATTCGACGGGCACTGTAAAGTGGCAACGTGAGAGGTCAAGCCGGGGACGTTGCCTACAGGCGTGATATGCGGAAGAGGGACTGACAGCCCTGCGGACGAATGATGCAGAGGATCATGGAAGAGCGTGGCTCTTCAGGTCCAACGGGAGAGCGCAGCGCCCCAGAGCTCACGCAGGGTATGAATGAGGCGGGAGGAACAATCGTCAACCGTTCCTACGCCATTCATGTCCCGCGCTCCTCATTGATTGTAAAATTTCCGACATGGAACCGGCGCCCGCAACCTCTGCATCGCATCGTGCGGGTCATTCAGAGTCTGGGACAGGTCCTTCCTAGTTCCGAATCCACCGGTCATCCTGGTCGTCAGCCAACCGCAGTAGGAAAGGGTCGAATAGACCCTGGTTATCGACCTGGCTCATCCAGTCACAGTGTGCCGTCTTCCCCCTTGGGACAGGAAAGATGGCAATCGGCGGTACGCACCATGTGGAAGTGCTGCCGACGGCACTAGTCGGGCGTTGGCTGCTCCATAACCCGCCGGACACCGGGCATGGATCGACTCATCGAGACACAGGAGGGGGGTCGGGGGTCATTAGGTTAGGGAGCCACTTGGCGATATCCCCACCCACCTTAGCCACCATGGCACCAACAGTCCGGTGGTGTGAAACAATTGACACGTGAGAAACAGCGAGAGGGGGTAACGAGCGAGCGACCTGAGGAGCTAGCCAGGGGAACATTAGACAGGGGTTACTATCACGGAGAATGGAGAGGGGGATTTGACTGCATTAAAGGGAGTTTAAGCGGATCGAGATCCCCCCTCCCATCTCCTCTTCAGCGTGAGCAATACGCAATGAAATCTAATAAATGTCAAATCGTATAAGACCGACAGAAAATTAGATTGTCGTCTTGTCATGAAAAGAAAACACCGAGGCTCTGGAGAAAAAAAACCTCGAGGTGGAGACGGGGCGACAAACCGTCCATCGGGTCATCGCATCTTGGGTACGATCCAGCAAAAATACTGGTTGAAGCGATAACCTTACCAGACTGTCATCTCAGGTACCGGTCAGAAAGTGTACCGGGCTTTTTTTTTTTTTTTCTCGACGGGCGTTCGTATTGTTGGTGTGTGTGTGTGTGTGCTCTAAAAGTCAGGAAGTGCATTTCCGCCCAGTCTCCACCGTACCAGGCGGGCAGGGCGGAAGAAGACACCGAGGCTGCCAGCATCATCATCATTTTCATCTTGTCTCTCATGATGTTATCTTCGTTCTGTAGCTGCTTGTGCGTCATTGTCAGACTCAGACAGTTTGATTCCTGTCACAGAGGAGTTGACGAGTAACGATCAAGGGGGAGGGGGGAGCTAGTAGTTTGGCGGTACTCCAGACTCCTCGGTACTTCGTACTGGATGACGGTGTGGTGGGTGCCATGGTATCTATTCCAGGAGAGGAGGAGGTAGTCGGAGAGGGGGGGGGGCAATGATTTCCAACCTCTAAGACTTCTTGTATGTCTCCTAGCCCAAGAAGGCTTAGAGGGAGGTCAAGCGGTAGAGAGTCCAGGTCAGACAGGGTTTTGCGGAGAAAGATAAATGCAGAACGGACGCCGAGTTTTCAAGCCTCTCGCGGCCGAAGCAACTGGAGAAGGAGAACTTGGAAGGAAAAGGTACCGGCTAGACTCCAGTTTAGTTCAGTTAGTCCAGTTAGTCCAGTTAGTCCAGTTAATTCAGTTAGTAGCGGGTTAGCGTCCCTCGCTAGTCCTTAGACCGAGGCTGGTGTGGGTTACTGGGTTTAGTCATCCACCTAGTGACCCGAAAGCAAAACAAGTCAGGACCACCAGGCGGACCATGCACACCACACTGCATCAGACTGTCCTGTAGGACCTGTACTGAGTACGAAGACCTTCTTATTCTCTGAACTCCTAAACCAAGCTTGATGCTAGAACCACGCAGTCAATCAGGTAAAGATAAAAGGAAATTGTCGAGAACAAAGGAACTCAAACCCAAAAATGAAGGGGGGGGGCGATTCAAAAAATAAAAACAAAAAAGAAAAAGGTGTCACTCTGTCTCCATCCTCCTTCTTTGTTCCTTCTCCTTTCCTCTGTCTCGCTCATTCTCCCTTCCCTTGTCTTTCAGTCTCCACCTGTTCCAGGAGCCGGACCAGAACGGGAGCCACTAAACAACGGCCGGATTGCGAGACCGAAGCTCGTCTCGCTCCACTTCGAACGCGAGCATGAAACAACCCGGAAGATATTCGGTAAGAAGAATGAGAAAGCAACATGAGGAAGAATCTGGCAAAGGTCAGGCGGCCAGAGAGCGGGGATTGTACTCGTACGCAACAAGTTAGCAGTAGCAGTGGAGACCTGGCAGGAACAAGGCGACCCTCGCTAGCTACAGTACTGAAGCAAATGTTTGATTGATAAAAATGTCGAGAGGAGACTTGCAGCTCAATTATCACTTCCTCACATGTACAGTACATCGCCTGGTTGGCGGTAATAAACAGGTCTTGCCTTACTCTAACTATGAGTATTGTAAAGACCGTCTAGAGATGGCGTATACGCCAACACGCCACTAAACCTTTTAAGGATACAAACTGACTGCTAAGTGTGCTAAGTGCTTAGGATATACCAGTAGCTTGGGAAGCCACCCTAAAGGACGTAGTCAACCAACACCGAGCAAAGAAAGATGATGAGACTGGAGAAAATCAACAGAATGCATGATAAGAAAGATATGACCGTCTTGTGGTTTCTAGTTGGTAAAGTAGAAGCGGGAAGAAAGTTTAAAAATTGTAGGGAAAAAAATAAAAAAAAAAATAAAAAATAAGGATAAGGATAAAATAAAATAACCGAAATTCAAAATTGTTGTAGGCTACGTAAATGATAAAAAAAAAAGACCGAGAAAAAAAAGGCGGAAGGACTGCTTGGAGAATTGAATGAACCCGACAGGTGGAAAAGTTCCAGTGGGGCAAACCGAATCCTTGCCTGCACCATTAAAGATAGAGGCTGAAGGAGCTATTGGCTAATACTTACCTAGTACTCATGATAATCATACAAATCATACAATCGAGCCCGCAGCAATCGCAAGCTCGACATCATCGATCTATCTTCAAGTTACCGCTACCGACTCTGGTCCGAGTACTGAGGACCATCGGTTGCGAGGAGAGAGAAAAGAATGGACGACTGATGTGAGCAGTGTGGGGGTCGCGATACGATCAGTAGGAGCCTCGGAGAAGACATGAGATGCGCTGACCAATTGCCTAATAAGGGTCGGTCTACTCATCGCCTCCGTATATGTATGTAAGCAGCAATTTTTAGGTACGCGACAATATGTGTCCATTGTTTTGGAGCCAGGTAGACCAAGAAGCCACAATGCAAAGTGATCAATGGTGCAGAGCCGCCGCTGGGGCATACATCGTACAACAGTCGCTGGTGTCTTTTGACACAGGTTATAGTAGCCATGTAAAATATATATCATGAACTCTTATCGGTTGACGGACCCAATGCAGATCACCTACAGCATACAGTGT